TTCAACACTGAAGTGCAGTGAAAGCCAGTTCATATAAGTAGCTTTAAGTGTCCTTCCCTGCCTGGTTCTGTTCATGGATTGGGTTATTATTCATTAGTGCTCTCTGAGCATTTCTTTAAATGACTCATGGTAAGCATGAATATTAGATAATCCTTCCTTTTCTAGGAGCTTATTCTAACTGAGGCCATACCTGAACTTTTCTCATCAATTATCTTTTGAGATTATCATATAACCCCTCCACAAAAATTCTATTGTTCTCACCATTTTATAGTTATGAGAACTAAAACTTCTGGGATAATTTATCCAAGGTCACTAAGACTCAATGAAACACAAAAAAATTCCCAAGGGTCACAAAGCTTCTGAGAGGCAGAAAGAACAATTTTTACACATCTAAACGTCCTTGCTGTATTCTACTGAGACTAGAGAACAGGGAATTCGTTCACATAATACTTATGGAACATAAATCCTACTGTCAACATCAGCAGCATTAACAGCTATAGACTGGCACACCAATGGTCCAACCATGAACCAAACACAGAAAGCTCTGCCTTCACAAAGTTCACATTTTGGTAGATTTCACCAGCTTTAAATTCACAAAACCTTTGCTCCCACTTTTGACCTTAGTGAAATCTTATCTCCTGTAGCCTAGAGATTTTGACACCTAGACATTGCTTGGCTTGTTTTAATTAGTTGTGGGACATCAAGTTCTTCCCTCTCTGCCACTCATGGAGCATCTGGTTCATCCTGGTTGTCTGTTTATGGGAATCAGGCAGACCCAAGGAGGAGATGAGCTGTGGTGGGGTCCAGCTGTGTTCGCATTACACCCACTGTCTTTTTCTCAACAGCCTTAGGGAGGGCTCTCAGAGTGAGGAGGGCAAAGACAGCACAGTACAAAGGATGCATTACTGGGGAGACAGGGCGCACATCCAGCAGTGCTCAGGGATTAAGCCTATTTTTTTGTTCAGGGGTCACTCCTCTCCCGATGTCACTCCTCTCAGAGGAAGACAGGAGATTGATTGTTGGGGATTGAAATAGGATCAGTTGCATGCAAAGCAGGCTTCCTAATTCCTATATAGTCTCTCTAATCCCAGAACACACTATTTTTCTGAGTCTCATGCCTAAGGATTTTTTTTTTCTTCTCTGCAGATAGTCATGTGCAGATGCTTAAAGTCTTACTCCCTCTTTGGGTTCTCAAACCCTGGGCCAGGCATGTAGTTACTTTGAGCCTAAGACCACTGACGCAGAAAGTAACCTAACAAGTTACTATAGTCCTTACACAGTTCTTAGATTCTTTTTATTTTGTTTTGTTTTTGGGCCATATTCAATGGCGCTCAGGGGTTATGCCTGAGCATAATTATGAGCTCAGAATTAAGGCCTGGAGAGCTTGAGGATCATCTGGGGTGCAAGGGATTGAAGACTGGTTGGCTACATGTAAGGCAAATGCCCTACCCACTGTATTATCTGACTGGCCCCAGTTCTTAGATTTTTTCAAAATATAGGACCAGGGGATTGGTTAGATTAGCAGCAGGACTGATTTCTTCTTTTCTCTGTTAACAGATACTGTTTGCTAGAGCCACTTGACTCCAAAAGTGATTTTGCTCTGTCCTGTGGGACCTATTTTGAATCAAACAGATTCGTCGCTTACCAGTTGCCATGCTGAGACTGATGAAGCCACCTGATTATCAGGAAGGAGAGCAATGATCTTGCTGGGAGGCACAACAGATCTGACAGCAGCAGTTTTCTTTCTTGTCAATCAATCATAAACAGACAAATTGACTGAAGAACCAATCCCCAAATTTTTGTAACAAATGGCAGAAGTTCAAACCACTTCCACTTTTTCAATCCTTTAAACCCCACCCTTTTCCCTGATCCTGGTGGGATAATCCTTGGAACAGCCTTTAACTTGAACCCAGAACATGATCCCATTCTCAAATAGTTGTTTTCTTCATCATAATACAGCCTGATTAATTACTGATTAGATTAACCATTCATTTTTTGTGTGTATTTGAATGTGTAGTGTGTGTGTGTGTGTGTGTGTGTGTGTGTATGTGTGTGTGTTAAGTTCTATCATAAGCTTTTAAGAGGCAGGAGTAATGTCTTACTCTAAAAAAATCCATTTTTACCCCTTGGGCAGCTCTTAAGCATTTAGAAAATATTCACAAGCATTATTTTATATATCTTATAGTATCACGATGACCATCCTGTTGTTCGTCGATTTCCTCGAGCAGGCCCCAGTAACGTCTCCTTCATCCTAGCCCTGAGATTTTTTTTTTTAAAGTGCCATATTCAAGGCTCTTTCAGGGTTAGGAGAATGAGACCCATCATTGTTACTGGTATTTGGCATATTGGGTATACCACGGGGAGTTTGCCAGACTCTGCCGTGTGGGCAAGTTACATTTGGTAGCCTGCCAGTTTGTCCAAAGTAGGTATGAGATGATAAGATGTTGTGCAGCCGCGAATGCAGCCGCGTGCTTCTGGGAGCTGAGTGTGATAATCTCTGGATCCTGGCCGTTGTTGGGGTTACACGGCAGTTGGTGGGTGTAACTGTCTAGCTACTGTCAGGTCCAGTCCCAAACCGTGCAGGCTTGGAGATCTCAGCCCCAGGTCCCACACACCTGGGTTCCTCTGCCAGTTCTTTTATGCGTGAGGCTTATCCAAGTGTGTGGAGAGTGGTCCCAGCATGGCCTTGGCTGGGGCCTGGAGGTCTTCAGCTGTTGCGCCCTGGTGGAGACAGTCAGGCACAGGGTAGGAGACTCTGCCTTGTTCTCTCCCGGGAGCTGAGTGTGATAATCTCTGATTATCTTATAGTATAATGCTAATATATTAGTAAGGTTGATGGCATTGATAAAACACTGTGTGCTAGGAACTGTAGTAGACACTTTATGATCTCAGTTAATTCTATCACTACTTATTCTTGTTATTATTTTCTTATCCTTAATTTTTAGTTGAAGAATGGAAGGTCACCCAAAGAAGAACTAAGTATTGGTGATTCAACACTTGTTAAGAAAATGCTGACTAGGGGAACTTGAGACATAGTTGGTTCGATACCTTGTCTTTTCAATCTTATAGATGCTAACAGATCTTAGAGCTGAGTACAGGATGTTTTCTCTAGCCCTGACTGTACCAGAAAACTCTCAGCATACTTCTCTTTTTTTCTCTAACGGGATGCTGGGCACTGAGTTCCTTGGAATAGTTCTTTTTGAAAGCATATGAGAAAAATTATGAGAGCTTTCAGATAGTGGATAAGCAACAAAAACGCAAGGCCACTGTCAACATATGGCTCATTGACAGTATCTTGACTCCTTTATTAGTGTTCTTCATAAATTGTTTCCGTCCTACCTACATGAAATCATAATGAAGTAACTCTGAGTAAGAGAAATGACAGGTTAACTTGCCTTTCATTTGTTTTCCATAATAAATGGAATCTTTCTTGAACACTCAAAGTCATTAACATTTCAATTTATTCATGTTCTTTTTTTCTCTGGCATCCTAATGGCAATATTACATAATTGTACCTGCCATACAACCATCAAGTTTGATGGCTTTTTGCATACCCAAAAGGGCTTCTTCCATTGCCTTTGTTAGTCTGTTTCTTTAAGGAGGCAGTTGCTTTTCTACACTATCCTATCTACTTTTTGCAATAGCTTGTTAAACAGGGAGACAAGGCTAGTGAATTAAGTTATGAGGAACTGGGGGAGGATCCAAGAAAACTCTTGCCATGAACCAGATGCTGTTTCAAGCACTTTACATGTATTAACCTATTTAATCCACCTACAACCCTATAAAGCAGATTCTATTATAATCATCCAGTGCACTTCTAATATGAGAAAGTTGATATGGAGGAATTGAAAAACTTATTCAAGCTCCCACTAGGTTAGCAAATGATCTGTCCGGGCTATGAAGCTATACAGTTCTAATTCTAGACTCTGCTCTCCTTACTACATTATGTCCCTGGGTTGAGTGACTCCTGGAAGATATAAAAGACCTCCTCTGTTCTATACCTCTCCTTCTCCTATGTGACCTAACTCTTACATACAATCTATTACTACTGCTGTGTCGGGTCTTTGGGTTAAAGAGTGTGGGAGGAAAGTGTCAAAATGATAACTGCATGATCAAGGACTTTATCATCTTTGTTTCAAACCTTCAAACTGTTGATTTTGCCTACAGGTCATGGCTTCAGATAAAATGTTAGATTTAAAGTATGTGAAGATACAAGCAAGGACACATTTTAATGAGAAAGTTAAAAATGCCCCCTCCTCAATTTTACTGTTTGAAGATCAGATTAAGGCCATTGGCAGCCCACCTGACAGTCCCCAAAACTAGGGCATTTTTTGAATTTATTTGGCACTGATACTTTAAATTATATCTGAGTTTTCTCATTGAACATCTACAAATCAGGTCGTGAATATTCTCAGTGCATTGGTTAGTGCATAGCAAACTACCTAGGCAGAGGCCAGGGAGTATCATCTTTAGGTAGCAACTGAAATATGTATATGTTTCCTTTAAATTGATATGTCAAAATAATTATGCCTGTTCCTTTGGTTTTAGAAGCACAAATGGAGGCTACTGATGAGGCAAGGGAAGGAAGCTCAGAGGAATATATTAATTTTAGAAAATAGACTTAACAGTCAAAAAATGCCCTCTTTAATTTATTAAAAATCACCACATTCCTTTCAAATGAGAATAAAACCAATATTCTTAATGCTAGTTCATTGTTAACATTATGCCAATTATTGCATTATGTTTGGTTGATAAATATTCAGAGGATAAATGAAGCCCACAAGATGGATTAATTCTCCAGCAATACTAACAAAAACTTTCAATATTTTATATCACATAATTAAATGCTGTTTGTTGCTTCTAGACCCAGAGCTTGAAACATGTTAATTAATTGCTTCAAGAAGACAGTTAGACATGTTTTGTGTTTGATATTTGAAATAAGATATTTATAAGCCCTGCACAATGTTATTGATGAATTACACTTGCAGAATAAATCCTACCTGCAGAAGTCTGGAGGCACCATGCCATAAACATTGATCCTGTCACAGAGCTCCAGTGCAATTGTCATTGTGAACCAACCAGTGCTGAGCCAAGTGTTGGAGATCTTCCTGAAAAGAACAATAATTAAGTCTGCAAGCTGGTAAAGTAATCATATCTAATACCACCTTAAATCCTTTATGGAGCAAAGCTGGCAACAGCACTCCCTCTTTTTCCACTTGTTAAATAAATAACTGGTAATAAGGAAATCTCTAATCGTATTCTAGAATCTTTGGATACAGGGCACTCCCACATGGTGAGATTGTGACCCTAAAGGACTCTCAAAGGGATTTCCATATCACCAAAGTTGATGATCATTGTTGCAATGTTTAACATGCATATTAATCACAACTTAATTTCTTGTAAGATGACAGTCCCATATGTGAACTCTTTTTAGAACTATAATTCCCAAGCATAATGAAAAACTTAATGAATACAAATAAACACAAAGTTGTGTCTATCAGCGATTAACTTATCAAATAATTTCTGAGTAAAACCCTCCCTTCTATTAGATTAATTAATATCAATACTATGAATGTTTTTCTTAGAAACATTCCTTAGAAATAGCATATTTATTTGGAAAGTGACTAATGACCATAGGAAGAGGGTCCAGAACTGAGCATTTGCTTATTTGACTTTATAATACTCAGAGATCTCTGAAAATTTTTATTAAAGACCAAAAGTTGACAAAATTTAGGAAATAGGTTTGGGCACTCTAACATTCAAACATCTTATTGAAGTCCAACTACACGACTATCTAAGGATAACTGTAGATCCGTAACATTAGAGTCTAAATTAACCAGTGAGAATGACTTAGTCTAACATATGAAACTGATGTGGATATTAATTTCAGTTCCTTGAGGGTTGCTGTCTTTAGTTTTTTCCCTCTGTGCTTATGGCATGCCTCATTAGCCAGTTTCAAACACCTTATCCCCAAGGTCAGACTGTCAAACTTTGCCAGGGCCATAGCACCATATGTGATATGAATAAGTGATTTACAGAGAAGCTTTTATACTTGCACTGTATAGAACTCCTCTTTGAGAAGGGAAGCTTTTCTGTTAAGCAGTTTTCATTATTTCCATTTCACTCAAGGCTAAACTAACCTCCCTTCCCCCCAAAAAGACCTTTTAAGTTGTTCTTTGTTTTTTTTTTAAATCCTTGACAGAAATGAATGATTTAGTCATTCCTGTCTAGATTCCTAAACTCAACTTTGTAGTACCTAATCCCTTTACTCATTTGTGTTTTCCATTTCATTGTATCCTGACCCAAAAATAACCAAAAAAGTGCATTTAAGAGGTGCAAAAGAGGGAAATAATGTGAGTTGGGATGTTAGCAGTTTCATTTATAAGCTAGTTGATGATCTGAGGCAAATTATTACTGATCTCTAAGCTCTTATTTCCTAATCACAAAGCAGATATTGGATGGGCACTCTATCTCTTTAGGCTATTTTGTGGACTAAGTGACAGAATATCCACAAAAAAGTATCTTGGCTGTTGTGTTAATACATCAAGATCCCTCCTTACCTTTCTTGGTTGCTAGATTAGAACACAAGAAGCACATAATTCAGCACCTGCAAAGAAATGCTGGTATGGGCTGGAGAGATAGTACAAAGGGTAGGGCGTTTGCCTTGCATGCGGCCAACCCAGGTTGGATTTCTAGCATGCCATATGGTCCCTCGAACACCACCAGGAGTAATTCCTGAGTGCAAAGCCAGGAGTAAGCCCTGTGAATCACCAGTGTGCATCACCGGGTATGACCCAAAAAAAAATGCTAGTATGTTTTTGTTCTCTCCAAAACTGATATTCTCCCCCAAGTCTAATGCTGGTTTTCAGCAGAGGTCAGAGAGTCATTGGAAGAGTCGACAACTTCCAGATTGCCTTGGTATTAACAATCCACCTTCTTTCTGACCAGACCTATATAATCATAAGACCTTTGAGAGTGAAGGAGTTAAGACAGAGCAGAGCTACTTGAAAGGACAAGGGGCCGCATATGTGGCTTCAAATTAGAGTTGATTTTTATCTATATGGCTGTTACTGTGTGAAGGCCTGTGTTCTAGACTCAAACTGGGTATGTGATTAACTAACAGGTTGGAGAGCAGAAAGATAATGACAGATCACTTATGTCCCCTGATCCCTGATCCCTGTGACATGGCACTCACATCTGGATCCCTACATTTTTACAGTTACCCTGAAATGCTAAGAGGACTTTTCCCCATGGCAGATGTCCCCCTTGCCCCCCCCCCCACACCTCCTTTTGGCTTTCTTTTATTTGATGTATATCACAAGCCAGGAATTGAAATACAAGAGGACGTGGCCCTATAGAAAAAGCTTTTAAGGGTAAAATGGGGGAGAATACAAAGTGGAGGACTAAAGAAGCTAGAGTGAAGAGTTCTCTAAAGTGCCACTTAAAATTCCACAGACTTCCTAAATAATAGCCTTTTGGGATCATGTGCTACAGCAATGCTACTGCTTTGTGCTGTCTTTTAAGAAAGATTCAAATTTCTTTTCCAACAAAGGAATATCTACTGTTTTTACACTTAATCAGCTGTAATGAAGGAATATGAAGAGCTGTCATGTGCTTATTAGGGAAAATTATCAGATATTCTTTTATATGATGAAGTAACACACTGAGCTGATAATTCTATAGTGCACACTAAATTACAATTAAAGGCCTTTCTGCTCCACCAGAATCTCATTTATAATCTCCATGGAAATATTCTTCCTGCAGTTATTTCATTTATGCTTCCTTTATCTAATTACTATAATATTGGTTCTGAATCATATTTTCCTAATGTATCCTTATTCAATTATAAAGTTATTTTCAAGTACAGTTACTTTCTAATATCAAAGAATACCACTTGTCAATCTATGTCATTTGTCATGCAGATTATTCCTGAGTCATCTTTTCTTCACTTTTAAATAGGATGAAACTTCTATAAATCAAAATATAGTGAATTAGCCCATTTATTTAAAATATCACCTTCAATGAGTGCACTGATCACAAGATGTAAAAATATTAGATCTTTCATACACTTTCCACTTTGCTTATTTGGTTATTTGGGGGCCACACCCAGAAGTGTTCAGGGATTACTCTTGGCTCAGTGATTAGTAATCACTTCTGTCAGGGGTAGGGGGACCACATAGGGTGTTAGGGATTGAGTCAGAGTCAGCTTTGTGCCTGGTAAGCACCCTATCCAGTGTATTATTGCCCCAACCTTATGTTGTTCATTTTTGATAAATGCTACTCTTATGTGGTTTCAAGAATAGCTTATATAGAAAAAGCACCACTGGACCCTAAATATTTTGTGTTTAAATGAAAAGAAATAGTTTTGATATAAAGGGTTACTTCTAATTTGATTATTTTTAGAAAATTAACTTCTTTAGTTTTTTTCTTTCTTTTATTTTTAATAAGGACCACTCCCAGCAATTCACATCACTTCCACTGTTGCTTCAGTCTGAATGAAGATTCTTGAACTTTGTGGGGCTCATATCAACATGACCATCCCCAGTGCTACTGGGGATTGGAAATCCAGGTCATACATAATCCAGACATGTGATCTACTTCCTGAACTATATTTCTGACCCCTGATTTGGTTCTCTGTGTATAGAGTAGCCTAGAAGGTAAAAGTATCAACCACTGAGTAAGAACAGTGTTAGTTTCTGTAAGAGTTTCCCAAGATTCTAGGAGTCACAGATTACTACGGCACCATATGAAATCTAGGAGTAATTCCTCTGAATAGGGATTATGTGGATCTTCACACAAGGATGTCAGCACAGCAGAGGCAAATTAGAGAACCCATCACATAAAGGCTCCCACCTGACTGCTGATCTCTGTTTGTAAAAGGTTTTTATTGGTCAGAATATAATGAATTTTGTGAGTGGGCTATGCACTGATGTGAGATTGCTTCCTAAAGATGTAGATGATCAAAAAGTAAAAAGAATTAATTTCCAAGTTATCAATTGAAAATAATTCTTTCCCCCAGCAGATCTAAAGTAATGAGTAATTATACCAAGGAACTAACAGTGCAGCAGTATTTCAGAAATACTTTATTTTCTCAAAGCACCATTAAAAAGATCAGGAGAGAAGTGTTTTTTTATTTTTTGAATTTTTTACTTATTTTTAGTTTTCCAATCAGAAAAATGAAGCTGTAAATAATTTCAGTCATCCTTACCCTTTTACAAAAGTCTTGGTTAAATGACTCACATCAAGTGAATGACCATTGCTCTAATTTGTGGTTTTAAAGGCAATAAATGGCTGGATTATATGGCAGCCTGGGATGATGACCAGGAACCCCCTGTGAGTTAGCTGGCTGGGCTAAATGTCAGCTATGTTTGGCTTCCAGGAAGAATACCATAGAGTATCAGTCAATTCCCTCCCTGACCCCAACACTCCCGACCAGACCCTGCAATCAAATCTTATATTCACTCCTGCCTAGACAGGCCTGGAATGGTCTCAGGATCTCCAGGATTTAAAAAGAAAACTCTGACACAAAGAGTGGGGACATTAAATAATGGTCTTTTGTTAAGATTCCACTCTACAACAATTAACTTCTTGTGTTAGACAATTGGATTTAGAATTTAATGTTATTTTAAAAATTATTATTAAAGCACTGTGATTAAAAAAGTTATTCATTGTTGGGTTTTATACATATAATGCTTCAGCACCAATCCCACCCCCAGTGTCAATTTCCTTCCTTAAGTGTTCCTAGGATCCCTCCTAGACCCTCCTATACCACTAAACTGCCCTTTTGATAGGCATGTTTAAATTTTTTTTTTGTTTTGGGCCACATACGAGGATACTTGGTGCTTACTCCTGCCTCTGCACTCAAGGAATCACTCCTGGTGTTGCTTGGGAGACCATCTCGGATACCTGGGATCAAACCCAGGTTAGCTGCATGCAAGGCAAGTGCCATACCCACTTAACAGGCACCTTCAAGTTCAATTGTTAAAGTTTGGGTCTCATGATTTCAGTGTTGTTGACTCTGTTATTTGGATATTTAGTGCTATTGTTCCTTAATACCACCTATGTACCTGAATCCCCTTGACCCCTGGCCTCCATTGCTTCTCATCTATCCTGTCTTCCCTTCCATCTCATTTCTTTCCTTCTCTGCATTATATACTAGAGCTAAGGGTGATCTAGGCATCCTACCTTTAAACCATTACATTCTATTCAATACCTAGATGTTCCTTTTTTTCCAACCTAGATTTGCTCAGAACATGACACTTCAATTATGCTTCATCTGGGGGCAGGTCTCTGGTGCACTTCTCAAGACAATCACAGACAATTTTTCTCTCATTAACTGCATGTTCTCTTATTGCTTATTCCTATACTCATAAGGATTTTTCTCTCTTTTCTCCTCCTTCCCTTTCCTCTTCTTCCCCTTCCTCTTCTTCCTCTTTCCCTCCCCCACCCTGCCCCCACTCTTTCTCCTCCTCCTTCTAGTCTTCTCTTATCTAAATAAATGCCTATTGACCTAAGTCTAAGGTTAAAAGCACCTTTTTGGAGAGAAACCCTTCCTCATCTCTTAAGTATTCTGTAAAGTCTTTCTACCTGTAGTAAGAAATATATTCTACGTCATGACAGAGTAAATAAATGCACACATGAGTGTGTCTGTACAGGCACATCTTGGAGCTACTGCATATTTGATTCCATCATCATAATCACTAATAAACTCATTGTCAACATAAAGAGAATTACATAAAGATTTTGGTTTCCCAATGTACGTAAAAGTTGTTTATGTACACTGTAGTCTATAAGTTGTGCATTGTATCTACAAAAATAGTGTGCCATAATTAGATGTGGCTCAAAGGTACTAAGTAAGCACATGCTGTTGGAAAAATGGTACCAATTTTTAGAATTTTCAGAATTACTAAACACAGGTTTACCACAAGCCTTCAATTTGTAAAAAATTGGAAAACCTGTGAAGCATGGTAAAGTGAATACAATAATATAGAGGCACACACAGAGAAACATATATAGTTTTCATTTTATCATGCGTGTGACATTCAGTGGTCATTAGTATGTATTTATGTGTGCACAATATACACTCACATACACAATTACCCAATTCTAGAATGCTTCTGTCTCCTCAAAAAGAAGCTTCTACGTATTTTTTGTAGATAAAACAAACAGACATCTATGTATGAAGCAATAAGTTTCCTTACTCTGAAGGATAAATGCTGATTCTGTCTGTACTATTATATTTCATTCATTCCATTACATTGTCCACTGTCCTCCCATTGTTCATAAATTTGCTCGAGCACCAGTAACATATCACAACATTGTGAGACTTGTTCTTACTGTTTTTGGCATATTGAATACAGCATGGGTAGGTAGGTAGCTTGTCAGGCTCTGCCAAGAGGGCGAGATACTCTTGGCTAAGAGGGGTGGAGGAATCGAACCCAGGTCAGCTGTGTGTAAGGCAAATGCCCTACCCACTGTGCTATTGCTCCAGCCCACTCCATTACATTAAAAAAAAACCTTACAGTGACTCACTGCATTGATCTCATGTTTTATCCAGCTTGGAAAGTCTTGCCCTACATAATGGCAGGTGTTGCTGTCCTGTGTGATGCAGCACTATTTCCTCTTCCCTGCCTTCCCTGGCGATGTCGCTAATTGTGGGAGGACAGTTTAGGTCTGTTTCCCACTGTGTCCGCCCCTGCCAGGTGCAGTGATGTTGGAGGTGCTCAAAACATACCTGTCTGCTGAAAAAACATTTGCCTTTGAAAGGGAAAGGGAGAATCCTGCTTTCTTTTGGTTAGTTCATTTTACAAGTAAAATAAAAAGCAGTAGAGCAATTAGCTTGTGCTGATGGCCAGGGTAAGCCAGCAGCTGTGGAGCATCTTCCTCCAGAAACCAGCACTGGGCCGAATCAGCCCTAAAATGATTCCGGTGCTTCATGGCACTTCGCTTATCAACTTCAGTTTGAAAGGATCCTGCAGGCAAGGCAACGGCACCACAGTGGGACCCACAATGAGAGCTTTGCTTTGGGTGACTCAAGCAGCAATGACATTTTCTCGCCCTCCTCTGCCCCTCTGTGTTCCCTCACACCCCGTCTCCTTGGACCTCCTCACCTGTCCTTGCCCGTCTCACGCTTGAAGAGCTCATCGAACTGCAGCATCTTGTGGCGTGTGATCATGAAGGCCTTGAGCCGCGGCAGCACTTGGCTCAGAAGCTGCAGGTTGTTGTAGACCTGGCCCTTGCCGTCGCGCCGCATGTAGCTACTTGGGCCCCAGAAGATGAAGACGGTGCCCTGGCTCACGTTGAGTAGATCGTGGCGGTTGCGGAGAATTCTCTGGATGCTAGAATGTGCTATCACCCTCAGGCTGGTGCGGTTGCCCACGTCGCGGCTGAAACCGCGGGTGGGAGCGTCGTTCATGCGAATCACGCACTCGGTCTGGTCAATGTGTGGGCCTTGGCGGCTGCGCAGCAGATGTCCCGAGCTTGTCACCAGGGCACAGACCCTGCAGTGCATCTTCAAGGGCTGGAAGGAAGGCAGCGTGAGAAGGATTCATTAGCATTTAATCTCACCAGGTTTTCTGTGGGTTACTGTCCCTCCTCAGAAGCCTATGCATCCGACAGGCCCCTTTCCTTCCTCCCTCACCAGAGAACACGCCCCTCCCCCCCATGCCCTGCTATCACATCATCAGCCAGTACATTCTCTTCCACATTGATGATAGGAAGTACTATCAGAGCGAAGGAGTGCTAATATGGACGTGACCAACATTAGGGGCCCAGCTTTGCTGATATTAGTCATGTCACTGCATCAATCCATCTGATAGCTGCTACAGTTCTTAACAGATGAGAATACCGAGGCTCGGAGATGTGAAGACTTTTGCCCAAAGATTTGTAGTAGATAACAATCAAGCTTCACTTTTTTTCAGAATCCAAAGTTACGTCAGAGTCAAAGAAAAGGCTAATCACAGTGTTCATAGAGAGAGAACAGGGGTAAGATACTTCCTTGCATGTAACTGATCCTGGTTCACTCCCCAGCATGACATATGGTCTTCTGAGTACTGCTAGGAGTGATCTCTAAGCACAGGGTAAGAAATGAACCACTTGCACAACTGGATGTGGCCCCCAAACCCAAATTAAACCCCTCCCAAGAAAGCCTACACCACAACTTGCTGTGACATGAGTTTTTATGCTTTTTAATTCACCTGATTTAAACTGTTTACTAATATGTTTGGTATTAAACATTAATGTTTTCCTAAATTAACATTGTTTGAGAACCACATGAGAAACAATACACAAATTGTAACCTTCAGACACTACAGTTTTAGAACAATAATTAGGATGTGCTCCTCTCCCCTTTAAAGGGCAAAGCTATTTGAATTGGTTCCATATTTGAATTGGTTATTTAAAAAATTGAAAAGAAATACAAGAGCTAGAAAGATAGTGTAGGAGTTAAGATGCCTACTCTGCTTTAGCCAACCCAGCTTGATCTTGGTACTGCATGGTCCCCTGAGCACCAGCAGGCATAACCCTAGAAAGACCTGAGTATTGCCATCTTGGCCCAGATAATCCCATGGCATGCAAGGCCTGAGCAGCATCACTTTCTCAGGCTAATATATCTAACCACCAGTCCAATTGGTGAAGAATTACCAAGAATTGTCTGTGTTCCCCTTGAACACCACTTGGGAGGCCTCCCTCCACAAAGAAGTGCCAAGGAATCTCAAGTTCAGGGTCACAGATTTCATCTCATGAAGATGTAGTAACTTTGGCTATGCAGTGCTCACAAGAGATAACAAAAATGCTCATATCAGCATTTTGAATAAGTAATTTTTCCCTCAACTTCTATATTATAACAAATGAAACATTCTCTAAATTATGTTTAAAACTAAGAACAAAACCTCAGCATCTTTATTTCATTTGCTTCTTGTTCATTGGTATGGGGGCCATGCCCAGTGTGCTCATAGGGCTGTGCAATGTGTGGGGTTAAACCTAGGGTTTCACACATGCAGGACACACTCTACAACCTGGTCCCCATCCCTGGCCCCTTGGGCTCATATTAAATGAGAACTACTGTCTCCCTGCAGGAGCGATAGCACAGCAGGAGGGCGTTTGCCTTGTCAGCCCAGTTTCGATCCCCTGCCCCTCTCAGAGAGCCTGACAAGCTACTGAGAGTATCTCACCTGCACGGCAAAGCCTGGCAAGCTACCAGTGATGCATTCAATAAGCCAAACACAGTAACAACAAGTCTCACAATGGAGACATTACTAGGCCCGCTGGAGCAAATTGATGAACAGTGGGAGGACAGTGTTTGTTGTTTGTTTGACTGTCTCCATGTTCCTGTTTGAAGATAATGTGATTAGGGCCTGAGGCCACTACCAGCAAGAGCAATAGTAAATGACAATCAAGAGTGTTCAGAAGGAAAGTTGTTAGAATTTTCTCAGAGTTTCTGACCCTTTTCTTTGTTAATTTTGAACAGGATACACCATCTCCTGGCAGTCTCAAGAAATCTGATCCGATTCAGTGCTGCATATATGCCATGTTTTTGTTTGTTTTTTATTCTGGTTGTTTCCTGAACCATTGCTCTGTTTTCTCTCAGATGCTCTGCCAGTAAGCATCTGAGGAAAGCCATCTTTCCCACCTTCCCTTATTGCATAATGCCAAGGGCACCAGCTCTAGAGTCTGACAGCACTCAGTCTTGTCTCTATCACTTATCAATCATGGGAACTTGGCAAATTCCTTCCCTCCCCAATTCTCCACTTTCTCACATTCAAGTGAAGATAATTATTGTCCTATTCTACCATAGAATAAAAAACTTATTAATTTAAAATGTATTAATTTACTTAATTAAAACTTAAAATACATTCACATATTTGATGGAACCATTTGAAATGGCCAATATTTGTCATGTGAAATGGCAATTGCATGGGGTTGAACCCAGACTGAGTCAAAGGACCTAGCATAGTGATCATTCTAGAAATGAGAGGTGCACTGGGATTATTGCCAGTGTAGAGTATAGGGTAGGTATTCACTGAATTAATACTGATCATGTTGGATTGATAAGTGATATATGGGCTTTTGCAATGGAGATTATATTATTGTAAAACCTCATCATTGATTTGACACCCACTTACTCTTAGGTGACAGGCACTGTGCTAGGCAGTAAGAATGCAAATGAAACGGAAGGATAAAATTTCTCCAAGTTTTTACTTTAAGGACAGTGAGCAGTAAAATGAGTCCAATGACGAGTGTGAGGTTAAAGAAGCAGCTGACTGGGCTAGAGTGCCAGCAACGAAGAAGTTTCCTATGGACCTGGTGTTGTTCTGAGTTTGTATTTTTGAGGGGGGTGGAGCGAGTTGGGTGGTTAGGTTTTGGCCACACCCAGTGGTGCTCTGGGTTTATCCCTGACTCTGTGCTCAAGAATCACTCCTGTCAGACTTTGGGGATCATGTAGAGTGCCTGGATTGAACTTGAGTTGGCTGTGTGCAAGGCAAGCATCCTGCCTGCTTTACCATCATTCCAGCCCTATTCTGTGTTTTTAAAGCAATGTGTTCAGTATTCAAATAATCCTACAAGAAAGGATGCTATATTATCATCCTAATTTTACTGATGAGAATATTGTGGGAGAGATTAGTGAAGGAACTTGTTTGAGTTCATACTGTTAGGAAGGAACAGAACTGGGATTTGAATCCAAGAAATCTGAGTGCAGAACCTGTGGGATTATCATATGTATTGTAGTGCAGCTGAGAAGAGCCCTAGAATGATTGTTCTCTTTACGTTTCTCCTCTCTCACTCCCTAAAACTTAGTGATATTTTTCAGTCATAAGTATTATCCTTGTTCTCAGAGTTTCAAATAAACGTGTATGCTGTCAAGAGAGGGGTCTTCGAACATGATTCCCACTCATTTCCTCTTTTGCAAACCACAGCACCCAAAAGGAGAGAGAGCACCAAAAGGGAATGCTCTGCCACAGAGGCAGGGCGAGATGGGGGGATGGGGGTGGGTGGGAGGGATACTGGGATTAGTGGTGGTGGAGAATGGGCACTGGTGGAGGTCTGGGTACTCAATGATTGTATAACTGAAACCCAAGCACAAAAATTTGTAAGTCTACAACTGTACCTCATGGTGTTTCACTAATTAAAGATTTTTTTTTATAAAGAGAGGGGTCTAAAACCCAACATCTTCATTCATTGAAGACTGATCAAAGTGGACTCATCAATCTAGAGCCTTAATCATTACGTTTTACAAGTAAAACCAAACCTTACTTTGTAGGAAGAACCATGTTACAGATGCCCATAAGATGATCACCATGACCTCAAGAAAGTAGTGGATCCAGAATAAAGCCCTTCTTAAACTCCCAAATTCATGGGCCAGAGGGATAAATAATTTCAAGGGCCAAAAGATGGAAAAAAGTACTGAATTACTCTTTTTCATATTTTACTTGCACAGTTCCTGCATAAAGGTTGGAAAAGGAAATTTCAACAATAGAGCTTCTAGTATGTGTCAGGCATAGACATGGATGTTGGTAAAAGAATTTTACAGAGAGAGGATGCCTATAAACAAACAATTCATATCTGTAAAGTAAGTAGTATGATTAGTATGATTAGGCACAGGAGGCATGAGATAAACAAACAAACAAGCAAACAAACTAGGGATCATTTGAACTTGTTTAAAAGAGCTGGAGAGATAAGAAGTCAGCCAGTCAGGAGTTATATAAGTGGAACCAAGAGACGATACCATTTCTTAAAAAAGAGAGTAGTGTCTTTAGATATGAATGAACAAATAAAACAGAGTGAGAAAGTATGTTTTGGGTTTGGTGACTACAGGCCAAATGGATTCAGCTGAACAGGAACAGCAACTGCTTCTGGTTGACTGTGAGGAAGCAAAACTGGTGAGTTGATGGTGGAACAGGGCAGGTCCATGGGATGAACTCTGACCCTCAACTTGACCCATTGTCCTTTAGAAATTTATTTTAAGGGTCTGCCTGGCTTTTAGTTCTGAACAACTTGCATTTGGAGAAACCACAATGATTACTACTTTATTGCCATTCATAGAGAAGCCCACTTAAAAAAATTCCTAGAAAGATACAGGTCACTGTTCATCGATTTGCTCCAGACCCAGTAACATTTCCATTGTGATACTTGTTACTGTGTTTGGCATATTGAATACATCATGGGTAGCTTGCCAGGCTTTGCCATGTGGTCTAGATACTCTCAGCTAGCCGGGGTCTCCGAGAGGGGAGGAAGAATTGAACCTGAATTGAACCTGGGTCAGTGGGGTAAGCTGTGTGCAAGGCAAACATCCTACCCACTGTGCTATTGCTCCAGGTGTATAAGAAATTAGTCCATCACTCAATGACAATTAGGGTCAGGAGACCCTAAGTCTAAGATTGAGTTTTCCTACAAATCAGATATTTAACTTTCTTGCCTGCAAGGAAGATGGTATTCATTCCTTCATTCACCGAAAAGACATTTATTTACTGAGCACTTAATAGAGCCCCAAGGCCCTGTGTAACTTAGTCCATTTGCTTAATA